TAGAAAATGGGTTGAGTCTATGAATTCTTTCTAGATGTATCTCAGTATTTTGGGGTCCCTGCACCCCTGAACTGCATCATTACTACTGAGGTCTGATGACATCTTCCCTGTGGATTTTTATATCCTTGCCAATACAAATGTTTAGAATTTGGGGAATTTTGTTTTATGTTCACATAGCTAATAGGTGACAGACTCAGGACTCTGGCCATGTACTTCTGATTTAAGGCTATAAAGCCTTAAAATTCTCCTTTGTCAGTGACTCTTCTGGTGGTCTCCTAGTACACAATCACTGCACTACTGTGGATTTAACTCGAGGGAACTTCAGAAAGATTTTAAGCATTTAAAAAATAATGTGTTTCAAAAATGCTTTTTGACCATGTTATCAGTAATTCAGTTATATAGCACTTTTAAGATTTACAAAGTAGTTTCCTCACAATAATTCTGTGTGGTAGACAGTTACAAGCATTATTATTACTGATTTACAAGCAAGGAAGAGTGAGGCATAGAGAAGTCGACTTACCTGTGATCACACAGTTAACACCCATTAGAGGTGATATTCAATCCCAGGCTCTTAACTCAAAATTCTACACCCTTTCTACTAAATTAGCCTTGCCCTTTATTTTCTGGAAACTTTAAAAGTTCCCATCCAGGGGCAGCTAAGTGGCACAGTGGATAGAGCACCAGCCTTGGAGTCAGGAGGACCTGAGTTCAAATCCAGCCTCAGACATATAACACTTACTAGCTATGTGTCCCTGGGCAAGTCACTTAACTCCATTGCCTAGCAAAAACAAAACAAAAGTTTCCATCCAGCTTCTTAGTCGAGCTTTGTTGTTCCAGACCTCTGATTTATAATTGGTGTAAGGAGCTCCTAAAGAAACTTCCTCTGCCAATGGAGATTGGCAACTGCTCTGTAGCTTATGGTCTCAGAGAATTGCCGGGGGTCCATGAGAGGGTAAATGAGTTGCCCAGGAATCACAAAACTACTATGTGTCAGAGGGGGGACATCTTGATGCTGAGGCTCACTTTCTATCCACTATGCCACCTGTTTTCATTCAATTTCACAAACATTATATTTACTCCTCCCCAAGCTATTTGAGCTTCTTTGCTTTCTTCCTCTTTTCTGTCTTTTTTTTTAAGTCTCTAGCACCTAGCATAACACTTGATACATCACAGGCACTTAATAATAGCTTTAATGAATGAATACATGAATGAATGGTGCTGGATACAGCACCCAATGAACTTGGGAGGAAATGTGCCATCCCACAAAAGGTGCTTGGTGTACAGCTGGTTAGAGTATTAGAAGTTACAGACATGAATGAAATTCATGAAACTGTGTGAATGAAGTTGTGAACATACACTTCATCTTCTATAATAAAAGAGCCTACTCCTACTCTCTGCAGCAAAACAAGTCTGACTTTTGATCTCGCTTAACCGGTTCCTCAAGAAGGGTGGGGTTTTTTTTTTTCCCCCTTCTTTCTGCCTCAGCTAATCTTCAGCCATCAGGCACCTTCTTGTATGAATCAGAACTGAACAAGATCAACTCCTTTGCTTTGAGGGAAGTCTACTCTGCTTTGCTTTGATGAGAAAACTCTTCCTGATGTTTTTTTCTCTTTCCTCTCTGTCTGTGGCTTTTCTGACAGCACAAAGACTGGTAGAGTTGGAAGGGATCTCAGAAATCATCCAGGCCCAAGCTTTCCACTTGACATATGAAGCAACATGCCCGACATCACCCAGCTCCTTAGCAGGGCCACTTCTGCCAGACAGTATGGGATGGGCCTTTCTAGGACGCCTGCTGCCTCTGCCTTATGATATTGACAGGACTGAATGAGTGATCTGTTTATCTTTACAGATCAGATCACAAAAGGAAAAGCATATTTTCCAAACTTGGTGAAATGTTTTGTATTTATAATGGGTTTTTTCCCCACTTAAGAACATTTAGGATCCATAAAATGAGAGAGGTGTAACCCTGGCAAATAGAGCTATAAACCTAATTTTGCTCATAAAAATTTCTTCCCTTCCTTCTAAGAGTTACTTAATCTTAAAGTTTCTGGGACCATGGGGCAGCTAGGTGGCGCAGTAGATAGAGATGCCACCTTGGAGTCAGAAGGACCAGAGTTCAAATCTGGACACTTGACACATTAGCTGTGTGATTCTGGACAAGTCACTTAACCCCACTGCCTCCCCCCCCAAAAAAAAGTTTCTAGGACCAAAGACAGAGAAAATGGATTGACATTCAAATATCCTTTCATTTAAAACTCGAAGTAATGCAGTGTGGTGATGATTAAAAATCAATGGCAAAAGGACAGAGACATTCAATGACTTTCTCCTGGTTTTCCAGGGCAGGGTGTTTATTTTATCTACAAATCTGTAAGAATTTGTTTTCCTGAGTTTTGATTCAAGAAGTCCTCCAATATGGTCTAAAGGCCACGATTAACATGATGTAACAGATCATTAGCTAGGATTCCAGGAAGGACTTCTTCCACAGATGTCAGGTAATCATTTCTGACTGGTGTCATCTCTGCTCTGAGGGTTAAAAATGAGGAAGCACATTTTAGACATGGGGAATCTCTCACATTAATGGATGAAGATGGAAGACAGAAGTTGCATTTGGGGAATAGTCGAGTCCAGTGGCTCCTCATTTTATCAGGCGAAGAACCATTGATGTTAATTCTAGCACCATGTACTGGGCCTTCTGGCTCACCTGGGTAAGAATTCTCATCACTAGAAGTGGTACCAGAATTACTGCTACCAGATCCTCTAATCTACCGCCCATTTTTTATTCCAAGTCCCACCATTCAAGCCTATCTCTCTTGCTTAGAATATCATAATAAAATTTTTAACTTCTATATAGATTCTGTCCCCTCCCCTAATTCATCATACACATCTCTACCAGAATAATTTTTCTAATGCACAGATCTTATTACGTCACTTTTCTAATCAAAACCTTTCAGTGATTCCCCATTACCTTCTACAAATAAAATCTAAATCCCTTATTCTGACATTTTAGGCCTTCGATGACCTGGTCCCACTTTCCTTTCTAACTTTATTTTACACGACTTCTTGGGTCAATCAAACTAAGTTATTTGCTAGACTGTGAACATGTATCTCTCTTTTTGATGCCTTTTTGCTCGCACAGTCCCCAGGGATGCAGAGTCTGTGCTCCCCTCAATCTCTATACTATCACACATGCCTTCCTCCATCTTTCTGGTCTCCAAGACTCTTCTCCTAGACTATTTCTGTGGTCTTTCCATTATTCCTTCCCTCATTCAATCACAGACTTGGAACTAGAATAGACCTTAGGAATCATCTAGGCTAAAGGTTTTTAACTGGGGATTTTTATATTCCTAAAGGACCAATGGATAGATTTCAGGAAGGTCTAGTCAAGGAGTTGCATTAAATTGTGTGTGTGTATGTGTGTGCATGTGTGCACACGTGTGCATGTGTTCAAGTGGTGCAGAAGCTCCTCTTCAGGAACATTAACAGGATGATAGCTTGAAAGGGTAGCAAGGCAGGGAAAGGAGGTTTTGGGTTTTTGTTTGTTTTAAGATAGAGAAGACTGGAACATTTTTGTAGGCAGAGGTAAAAAAGGGAGATTGAAATTGAGTTTCCTAATCTGTAAGAAATGAGGTTGTTGGACTATATCGGGAGTCCTGAGTATTTTTTGTGCCATTGATCTCTTTAGCAGTCCGGTGAAGCCTACAGACCTCTTCTCAAAATAATGCTTTTCTTTTTATAAATATATACTCATCTTTTTTATTTTTTTGTTACATTTTGAGTTCCAAGTTGTCTCCCTCCCTCCCAACCCCACATTACAGAAAGCCAACATCTGATACAGATATATATGTGAACTATACAACATATACTTCCACATATCAGTTCTTTCTCTGGAGGAGAATAGCATTTTCCTTCATAAGTCCCTCATAATTGATTAGAATATTCATATTACTCAGAATAGCTTAGTCATTTACAGCCTACTTTCTGAACAGTGTTCTCTTGGTTCTGCTCATTTCACTCTTCATTATTTCATGCAAGTCTTTCCATGTTTTTCTAAAATCAACCTGCTCATCATTTCTTACAGCACAGTAGTATTCCATCACAATTATATACCACAACTTATTGGGCCATTTCCAAAGTAATACTTTTCAATGCATAAAAGAATTCTTTTTCATATTAATTTAGAGAAAATCCCATCAATTCAAAAGGCTAAAAAACCACTGGATAAGGATATCTGAGAATGAGTGGGCACTTAAAGGTAGCTTACCATCAGTGGATGACATGGAATCTTTTTGTGCACAAATAATACCAAAATAAAGGCACCTTTGGACATGTATTGCTGCTTCACACATCTGTAATTAGGTGCTAAAAGTCCATGGAAGCCAGACATGCTCAAAGTCACTTAGGGTATCTGCATTAATCAATTAATCTTTACAGGAAACTATCAGGCCTTATAGCTTCAAAGCTACACAAAACTAAACTAAACAGCAAAACTCCTCTGAAAACTCCTCTTTTTGTTAAAAACATTGTCAATGTAGCTATACATTTTAAAAAGGACAAGATTTACAACCTATTACTCGTCACAATATAGGATTCATAAAAAATAGCAGCTAATGTATTACCTAAAATGATAAATGCTGAATTTCAAGGTCACTGTCATATTTGAAAAATAAACAAACACCATGAAGTTGGTGTTTAAAAATAGCTTATTGAAAACCCCTTAGAGAAGAAGGGATTTGGTGTAAATAATTTACTTACTATACATTAAGAAAAACCTTATAGAGTAACATATTAAGTTCTTTATATGAGTACATTAAGCATTTTTGAAAAAAGCAATTTTTCTCATTTGTGGTTTTCTTATGCTCTGAATTATGAGAACATTTGTACACAATGAACAAAAGTTTAACTTAAGTGCAAAGTATATTGATCCTCCTTCCATTTTCTCCTTTCCATCTAGTTTGAGGGGGAATTTAAAATAATTTGAAATTTGGTAATTTAACATAAAAATTATTTTAAAAAATCTTATTGTCAAATCATTAGCATTTTAAAAAATACAATATTTCTATAAAATTCTTATTAATTTTAGAAGATAGATACTTTTGAATCCCATTCCCCCAATGAAAGACAGAGAAAGTATCAAATCTAGTCTATTTTTAGAGGGCAGTCTGAGGGACAGAAGATGCTATAAGCAATCTAACTTGGTATTATATTTTAAAAAACTATCATGTAAGTCTATATTTTCATCCTAGTCAGATCAGGTATCCAAAAATGCTATCGGATTTAAAGAATTCTTTATTAGGAGGTTCTCTTTCACTTGCCCTGTTTCTAGAAGTTGCTTAACATTTCTTTAGTGTAAAAGTTTCATTTTGTGATATACAGGGACTAATATTTATCTTTAGCTACTAATTATACTCTTCTGAGAGCTAAGTATAAAAACCACGTATTAACAGAGTTCTCCTATCGAGCCATTATTGGTGCCATGTACACATGTGACAAGCATATCTTGAGGTCATTTGTTCCAAAGAAATAAAGCAACAAAACCACTGAACTCACAAAGTTCCCAAAGAAGAAAAAAAAAATAAGGAACTAAGGAATGTAAATTGTAAAGAGGAAATATTGGGCATTCATATCTCTGGAGAAGTCAGAAGTCTTCTGTGGAGAAATTTTGAAAACAAAACACAATAATTACACAAATAAAACAAAACAGTACTTTTTTGAGACTTACAGGGGAAAATAATACTTATATCCCATAGGAAGATTACAGATTTTCTTTAGAATTTTTCAACTTGAAAAAGAAAATTCAAAACCAAATATACTCTGAACTCTTGACATTTGAAAAATGACATATTGTTATATTCCACAGTTGCCACAAAAATATGTTTAGAGTGTTAGGAGATGCTTATTATGCTAGACTCCCCTTTACACGGGCTGGTTCTGTAATAGGAAAGCAATCTGTAGTTCATAAGACTGTTATGAACATGCTAAAAAAAAAACCCAGAGAATTATCTGTAAAAAGAAAACAACCTTTAATTACTTGTCTAGAATGTTAGACTGAAATACCAGTGTTCCACTGATTACCTTAGGTAGGAAGACTGAAGATGGCCATTGTATCATCTTCCAAAACATAAGTACATAGGTTTCACATATGTGGACACGAAAATATACAGCTGAATATTTCAACAGTTCTTAAAAGAAACATGCATGCCTTTTTCCGTCTTCAAAATGGCTCTTCCAGGGAGATCAGTGACCCTGATTGTCCATCCGATTAAATAAAGTTTGATCATCGTCACATTCTATGTTCTCTAACAAAGCATGTCTATCTTCGTTGGAATATGGAGATAACTGGGCTTTTTTGGAAGTAGTTGTCAACTGACTCCAGGTGATATCGGTGTTTTTAAAAGCATGCAGAAGGAAGATGCCATTAACAATGGTGAAGAATCCACTCAGTGTCCCAATGACATCACCAGCATTCATACTATACCACTCTTTGAATAAGATGGCAGAACATGTCACTACTATAGATGTGAAGAACACATAATAAATAGGAGTCACTAGAGATGCATTGAATGTATCCAGTGCTTTGTTGAGATAGTTAACCTGAGTACTGACTGAGACGATTATTGTCACCAACAAAATAAAGACAAATGGATCCTTGTAGACTGGCTTCTGTTCCAATAGCTCCTTGATGGCGATTCCTAAGCCCTTGACAGAAGAAACTGAAAACACTCCAATTACCGAGCAAATTGAAATGTAGATTAATATATTGGTCTGACCTTTCTTTGGCGCAACAACCACAATCAGCACCACAGAGATCACAATCACAATCACAGCAAAGGAAACAAATGCTGTTAGAAAAGACAGAGAGAGAGAGAGAAGAAAAAAAAAGCAAAGTCAGACAATGCTTTCAAGATATTCTTCCAAAGCACTTTGCTTATATCAAGTTAGGAAGCAATTGTTTCCACTAGTGTGGAAGCAGAAACAAAATATCAATGTGTCTTGTGTGTGTGTGTGTGTGTGTGTGTGTGTGTGTGTGTGTGCACGCGCGCGCATGTCAATATTTTTCTTTCTTGTCAGTTAACAGTAATGCCTAAGGAAAAGTCATAATCCCCTTAATATGCCTAGTAAGGAACAAAGTAGTTATAGATATGAGAGGTTTTAGAGTCAGGAAGACGTGGAGTTGAATCCTGCCTCTGAAACATTATTTGACCACAGGAAAGTCTCTTAATCTTTCAGTGCCTTTCTCTGAGACTAGAAATTACATAAGATGCCAATCTGCATTGGTAAAGAGTGTTTTCCATATTGGAATACATAGGTCTGGACTTTCCCTCCTTGCAGAAAAAAGGGGAACAAATATTCCAAATACTGTAGACAAGGGTGTGAAGTAGAATGTGAGGTAAATGTGAATAGAGTTTTAATTACAAACCTGGATCTCTTAGCTTTATTTCCATATCATGTAGAGATGCGACTTCTTCTTCTTTGGGAGCATGGATAACCATCACAGTTGACCCCAGGACACTTAACACACAGCCTATTTTCCCATGAATGTTCAGTCTCTCATTTAAAAAATGGGCCGACAATACTGCACTGTTAGGGATGAAAAGAAAAAACAACAAGAAGCAATCATTCTGGTTCAACTAACTTTTGATTACATGGCAATTAAGCAGTCACAATATGACACCTGCTATTCTGTACCCTAACCAACTGATCTTGATCAATACTGAAATGTTTTCAAGGATTCCTCAATTTTCTTAAATGGAAACAGGGGCCACTAAACTATAAATAAGGATCTCTGTAGGCTGCAAATTTACTTTTTAAACCACATATTAACATTATCTTACTGTATTTTTATTCATTTTGTTAAACAGTTTCCAATTACATTTTAATCTGGTTTAGGCCAAGCTCAAGAGTATTAAGGGCCACATGTGGTCATTGTGCCATGTGTTTAACACCTCTGATTTAACCCATGTTCAAGCCCCTCAACCTCAGTCCTTTTAGGAAGGCTTTAAAGTTGAAAACCATTGCTTTAATCATTCTGTGAACTGCAAAATCTTGTACAATTTTTTTTTAACATTCCTACTCTTCATTGCAAAAGTGGCAGAAATTTAAAAAAAAAACCCATTCTCCCAATTTCTATTTTAACATCTTACCCGTTTGACAGAATATTCATCTTAGGATGGAAAAATATAGGAAAGCCCCAGAGAAGAAGACATGCATATTGAACACCTATGGTACACCAGACCCAGGAAAATGTAGGAGGCTGAGGCTGAATGGTTTGTACTGGAGATTAACTGTGATTGTTGACAAGGAAGGGAAAAGAAAAGGAGCTTTTCTAAAAGCGTCATGGGTCAGGAGTTAGAAGGGGTCACGGACCTGCCAAAATGCATCTATATTTGGGGGTAAAATAAGGACAAACTCAGAAAAAATGAAGCCATGTTCTTCCATGAACTAAATATTCAGATTCAGAAAAAAGAACTCTGGATTTGTGGTCAAAGGACATGGGTTCAAATTCTGCATCTGCTGCTTTACTGGCTGTGTGAACTTGAGCAAGTCTCTTGACCTTGTGTGCTCCAGTTTCCTTATCTGTAAAATGGGTGGAGGGTAGGTTTGGATTAGATAGTCTTTAAGGTTCCTTCCAGCTCAAATTGTATGAACCTCTCATACTTCATCTTAGTTTGATTTAAATAGGAAAATGACAATTTTCAGGATGAAATCTGAAGAATTCTAAAGAAAAGCAGAATGCAGACAAGTAAAAATTTTAGCAACAGCTCAAACAGTGATTCCAAATGTTATTTTTTTTTCAGGCTTATTCATGATCATGACCATGAGCAATGGCTTAAGAAAGCAGGAGCTTGGCAGCATTCTTTGTAAAACGAAATGTTAAAAAATATTCTTAGCTTAAGCCAAGTGGGAAACCAAGCAGATACTGATGACTATGTGGATTATCCCAAGAGAAGAACTTCTATTTGAACCTCTGACATATATATGCACATATATAGGTATAGATGTGTATACATGTATATATTATATATGCACATGTATATTCTTATGGTTTAAGATTATTATGGCATGAAATACCCTTACACATAGTTCTTCCTTAGTCTCACATACCTTATAAGAACACTCAGTGCCCCCAAAGGGGTAACCAATGTTGCAGGTGCAAAAGCATATGCAGCAAAATTTGCAGCCTCTCCTATTCCCACTATAAAGCAAACAGGATTGTTGACACGAATGTTAATTTAATTTATTAGAAGATAAAAATAAATAACACATAGCAGTGAACTCATACCAAGGATTGGTCTAAGCAAAATGAATAAATTATACATAAAGTTTTGAGGTTTGAAATTAATCCAGAAAACCTATTAGTGCTTCAAAGCACATTGTCTTACAATAAATCAGGGAATAAAACTGATCTAATATAAAACAGCTGACAGTCACACTCAAAGACAGATTAATATGCATTTAAAAGACTTCCAAAACACAGTTCCAATTGCACCTGGGTAGCCAAATGAAAACTAGTAAAGGAAGGCCTGGGGAATGCTAAAGACCATTTCTCCTTCCGCCCAAGAAGCTTCACTGTTCTACAAAACAAAGAATGGAGTTAGCCAAATGCGAGGGATTTACAGATGTGACCCACAGTGTGATGTAGGTAATAGCCTGTCAGTAAGCATTTGGTTAGTACCTACTCTGCTAAGTGCTGGGAATACAAAGAGAGGCAAAAGACAATCTCTGCTCTCCAAGAACTCACAGTCTACTAGGGAAGACAACATAAAAACAACTACATACAAACAAGACAGAAAAGGGAAAAACTGGAAATAATCTACAGGAGAAAAGTATTGTATTAGAATTAAGAAAGATCAGGAAAGATTTCTTGCAGAAGGTAGAATTTTAGCTGGAACTTGAGGGAAGCCAAGAGGCAGAGACAAAGAAGGGAGAACATTCCAGGCACTGGGGGCAACCAGTGAAAGTGAACAGTTGAGAGAGAAGAGTGTCTTGTGTGAATAGCAGCAAGGAAGCCAGTGCAACTGGATGAGAGTACATGAAGAGAGTTAAGGAGTAAGAAGACTGGAACCTACCATAGAACAGTCTAATCAGATGTTCTGTAGCTGGCCAATGTCTACAAATGTGCAACATTCAAAAGCTAAGATCATCGCCAAATTTAATCCTCCTAATGCCTGAAATACAATTAATTTCTAATGCAAGGGTAAACCTTAGAAGCTTACTGTCAATAGAGATGAATCTGGACCAAAGTGTTGTCCTGTAACCATCATGGATTTTAGGACGTCCAACTGGTAAACTCCACCCCTACCCCCAACTTCATACACCTTACACCAGGAATTAACATAGAGAAATAAATAAAAGGCCAACCGTAAGAAAAGCACTTCCTCCCATCTAACATATTTTCCCTTTTTGCCTATAGATGGTAGGGTTCTTTTTTCCCAGTTAGCCTACCAAGTATACATTGCTTTAAGAAAATATGATATATAGAAACCTGAAATTGTAGATTAGATTGATCAGGGTAGATAGCTACTTATACTTTCTGATTAGACTAGGTCCTTCCCTGTAGGAAGAGAGGATATATTGATTTTTGTGTTGTTGAGTCATTTAAAACTCTTCATGACCCCATCTAGGGCTTTCTTGGCAAAGATACTATAATGATCCTCATTTTACAGATGAGGAAACTGAGACAACACGGTTAAGTGACTTGCCGAGGGTCACACAGCTGGTAAGTGTCTGACGCCAAATTTAAACTCAAGAAGATGAGTCTTCCTGACTCCAGGTCTGGTACTCTATCTACTGCACCACCTAGCTGACTGGTATGTTGATAGAAACAGCTAGAATGACTGTTTAGTAGAGGGGTGGGAAACCTTCAGCCTTAAGGTCACATGTGGCCTTCTACATCCTTAAGTGAGGCCTTTTGATGGAATCCAAACTTTACAAAATTGGATTCCATCTAAAGGCTGCACTTAAGGACATAGAAGGCCACACGTGGCCTTAAGGCTGTAGGTTCCCCACCCCTGGCTTTAGTCCTTCATGTGAACACTTCCAAAAATTCTACTAGTCTCCACGTGTATATATTCTTGTGTGACTAGACTCAAAAGATGAATTTGAAAGTATCTTGGGTCTGCTCCTGGAGACAATACATTTGTAACAGACACCAGCTCTCTGCACTTGCGAACATTCAAAAGGATAAACCCCAACTATTACGAGCCGCTCAGGTCAGTCTACAGTTCTGACAGAGTGGCCAGTTTCTGGCTGGCCTTCAAGTATTCAGTGGTATGTAAATCAGGAGGAGAGGTACCCCAGCTGTCTGGGTCATAAGCTGAAACTTGTTCTCAATATATCTTTTATTGTAACATCAGTAATATCTAGCTAAGTTTTCTATGACCATGAGCTGTGCCTTTCTCCCTCAAATCCAAATTGCCCATTAACACTGCTATGTTATGAAAAGGCCTCTGTAGGGTGTTTTTGAATGTACTTTCTCACCTAGTACATCTAAAACGATTAAAAATGTGGTCACAAAACCATGTCTCTGGGCCATAGCAATTATACAAAATGAAGTACATTTGTATTTCATTTCAGATACTTATCAGTTTATTGCCCAAAACTTCAATGCCAACTACCTATTTTTCCTCTCCTATATTTGAGTAAAGGGAATCTAGGAACTACTTCCCCCTCTGACACGGACTAATGGTGCATCTTGGCCCACCACTTCTTGTTAGTCCACTGTTCCTTCCTCTGTATGGGGTTGCCAATAAAGTGATTTCTAAGACCTCTTCCAGCTTTATGAGCCTGTATTTTAGCTCTAAGAAAGGGTGTATGAAAATTATTTAATTTTCTCATTCTTGGCCCAATACAATCCTCAACAACCTAATCACATTAGAATGATGGAAAACCCCTTTGAAATTATGAAGTGCTATATAAACAAGAGATATATTGGTATTAATTCATCTTTGAGATTCTTACCCATTGTATTTTACAATGACAAAGTTAATAGATAGCAAAGTAGACTTTCATCTAAAATATCTCCCTTCTATGAGCAAATCTTCAAAATTCCAGAAAAACACTGCTCTAGAATGCAAAACCACAAGAAAGTTCTAAGCTTTTGGCTACAAAGAGTAGGTGATTTGTAAGTGGTTGAAAGGTACTAATATTTAAGATTTCCTTTTAGCCAAGTGTCTGGGGCTGAACCAGTTTTTATTCTAAGGTGAGAAGGAAGAGATCCTTGCCACAGCCCTACTGGCATCTCACCAGGGGGTTTGGAGGTTCTCTTCTGCAACCCTAGCCCAGGAGAGACAGGAGACAGAGAGAGGAAAGGAATCACAGGATCAGAGACAGCTGGGAGCAGGGTGAGGCATGAGTGTGACTTGTTTTTCTTTCCTCATCTTGAAGGGCAAGCAGGGACTTATTTTAACCATGGTTCTGCTCTAACAACAACAAGGTACACTTAAGAGATATACTGATATCACAGTTACAGTTTCAGAGCAGAAAAAAAACTAGACATGTGAAGAAAGGTGAGGCAAGAATTTAAAGGGGAAATATATGATTGAATATCACATTTAACATATCTCCTTTCCCTCCTCTACTCCAGGACTATAAAGACAGTACAAAGGAAATAAAAGTCATTTGAGCTGTATAACTAAATGTTATGTACATTCACATAAATATTCACAGACATACACACTGTTCTGTTTTTGATGCTAGTTGTGTGACCCTGGCAAATCACCTAACCTCGCTGTTCTAGGCAACTCTCTCTGATTATAAATTGAGAAGGCACACTTTTATTGGTAGAAAGAGTTTCCTCATTTGGGAAACCAGTAAAAAATCAGGTTCAGTCCCTGTCCTTATATACATCGGCTACTTCTATACAGAAGCTTGGTAAATGGATTTAATCTCTACCATGGAGAGAATCTACTCTTACCAATTCTGAAAGTATCATACTCTCAATCTGTCATTTCACAGCTGTATTGTAGGTATCTACAATATAGTAGAGGTAGGATACTTACTTGAGAGTAACCCTGCCCACCAGAGCCATTCCTTCAGGTAAGAATGTCCACCTTGTCCTAGAAAAATAAGAAAATTCTAACATGGAAAGTGATGAAACCCAAACTCAGAGAAGCATTACTGGGATGAATCATCTAAAACAGAGAAAAAAAACGGGGCTGGAGGTGGGGGACAAAGCCTCTTCAGCAAATGTTTTACCAGTAATTTCCCAAGAACTGCTGAAGTTTTCTCTTTTCTGCTTCTGGGTATAGAAAGAGAAAGAAGAAGCGAGGACAAAGGTACACTTGGTCTTTCCTGTGATTGGCTCCATCTTTAAGGAGAAGAGATTGCTTATAGCATAGACAGTAGTCTCCCAATTAGAGATGAACAAGTCCAGAGATGTACCACATTATCAGTCCCATTGGGAAAGGCTTTCTGAATGATCTAAGTCAAGTTTCAGTATGAATTAACAATATAGGTTAGTTTTTTCAAAAGGCACTAAAGACAGACATGATATAGTAGGAAGACTAATGAATGAGGTTTCAAGAGCCTGGAGTTCACGTACTAGCTCTGCCACTAACCTGGGCTACAGCTCTGAACAAGGCATTTTATCTCTTTGGGTATCAGTTTCCTTATCTGTAAAGTGACGGAGAGGAATTCTACCAGGTCAGGGTTTGGTTGTTTTGTTTTTTTTTTTTAACCTGAAGTCCATGGACTCCAAAGGGAGCTGTGGATAGCTTTCAGGAGATCTGTGAATTTGGATAAGAAAAAAAATCATCTTTACTTGAATACAACTGGTTTCCTTTATAATCATAGGTATTTTATTTTATGCACCTAAAAACATTCTGAGAACGGGTCCACAGGCTTCACTAGACTGCCAAAGATTTCCATGATACACAAAAGATTGAGAATTCCTTAACCCTAAATACTAAAATCTTATGACATCTCATGAATTAAGCCGTAGGAAGTTGCTGCCTTTAAAAAAAATACTGCAGCATCATCTTTAAAACTAAAGGTTATGTAATATTCATTGAAACTGAGTTATTTTATTGGAAAACTTTTAATTTAAACAAGGAATATGATACTCTTGATTGAAGGGGAGGAGGATGGAGATATAAAAGAGTCACTATATGAGACTTCAGGCTAAATAGGCCTAATGGCTTGATCTTTACTGTTCAAACCACGTAGCTGTGGAATATTCTTTTTATCACTTGAGGACAAAACCTTCAAATTGCAGTTACAACATTTGAGGAAAATAATTCCAAGCCCTAAAATTGCAAAAGTAAAAGCAAATTTCACACATGTTATAGAATAAGAACCGGTTTAAATCTAGACTCAACCTTAAATTAAGTGACCAAGTTCACTGAGTTGGGCTCATCTGGTCCCTGAACTCCCTAAACTCAGGTACTCAGCCCCAGTCTCCATAGTTGATAAGAGTAGGAGATGGTTATGGTTAGTGGAGGAAGATAAGACTCTTGCGGGGGGTGCAATCATAAGATCACAGACCTAGAGCAGGAAGGGCACTCAGAAACCCATCTCACCCAATCTCCTCATTTCACAGATGAGGAAAATGGAGATTAGAGACATTAACTGATTTGGCCAACGTCAGAGAGGTAATAAGTGTCTAAGGCACGATTTGAAACTACATTTTCCAATTGCAGAGACAGCATTCTTTCCATTGTGCTGGTAAAGGCTGATGGTAAATATTATGTTATATTATATTATATTGTATTGTATTGTATTGTATTGTATTGTATTATATTATATTATATCATATCATATCATATTAGTAGTACTGGGGTTCAACAGAGTCAATGTGGTATAGTGCAGAGAGAGGGCTGACCTCAGGACCAGGAAGACTTGGTGGCTTCCAGTTCCACCTCTGACCACAGTGGCTTTGTGTCCTTTGGCAAGCCACTAGTGCTTAAGCTTTTGCGGCTGCAGGCAGCTCTCCAAGACTAGAAATCTCTGTGAGGGTGCCCACCTGCACTGGTAGAAGGCAGTTTCCTCCCTTGGCATTTCCCTAGGCCAGTGAAATCACAAGTCTGGTCCCTATTCCTGTCCCTCTGATTCTACTAGAGGCTTACAGAAAGAAAGGAAGAAGAAAGGAAGGGAAGAAAGAAAAAGAAAAGGAAGGAAGGAAGAAAAAAAGAAAGAGCTACCCTTTGGGGCATTAGTTTCTTACCAGCTCTGGTTACTCCCTTTTTAGCCAGTTCTAAGAGTCCCTTCTTTTTCAGTATGAAGCTGGAGCCTATGAAAACACTGGAACTTATGGCCAGGATGAAGCCTAGAAAGAGGCTGTATTGGTTCTCTGCAGATGAAGAAATACTCAGGTTTGTTCCATTGGAATTCGGGCTCTCCTGGGTGACATAAGAAGCCTTTAGTTGTGACACATTGGTGATCTGGCACCATGCCTGGTAGGAGTTGGAACATAGCAAAGAGAGCACAGAGCCTGGAAGGAGACAAATAGGAGAGGCATTACACAAACGAAAAAGCGCTTTATTGAGTCCCTGATGCCTACCTTCATCAGACAGAGAAATAGTAACTGCTCCCATTCATACCACATTCTTAAGGCTTACAATAGCAGTCCCCTGAGCCAGGTAGTTTTAAGTCTTATGTTTCAAGGAATGTGCAATCTCCTCAATGCATGTACTCCCTGCTACAGAGAAGATAGGAATCCCTTCACGCCTTCCCATCCAGTGCAATTCCTGTCCACGCCTTTCTATCTGCCATAGAGGATCTATTCAACATACATGAGGCTATCCTTTTTTTTCTTTTTCTTTTGACTATGCAGTCAAAAAGCAGTACTTACGGAGAAATTTCAAGCTCTAACTGCTTTTGTCAATAAAAGAAACAGCAGACCAATGAGTTGGGCATTGATATTTCATGTAACCCTTCGGGGGGGGGGGGTCTCTTCATTATCCATCACTCTCACTACATGACAGGTCAGCTTCTTTTTCAGGTCCCTGATGATGTTGTCTATGTAGCAGAAAAGATCATAGGATCATAGATTTATAGCTAGAAGGCACCCTAAAGGCCATTGAATCCAACACTCATTTTCCAGTAGTCTATACAGTGTCGGGCCTGGAGTAGGGAAGACACATCTTCTGAGGTCAAATCTGACCTCAGATACTTACTAAATGTGTGACTCTGAGCAAGTCATTTAACCTTGTTTGCCTCAGTTTCCTCATCCGTAAAATGGGCTGGAGAAGGAAATGGCAAACCACTCTAGTGTTACTGCCAAGAAAACCCCAGATGGGGTCAGGAAGAGCTGGACACAACAGAAAAACAACTGAACATAAAGGGCTCATCCTACCTACCCCTCCAGACCTACAAGTTGGTGATATGAAGCTGACTTACACATACCACATATCTTTACTTGGGGGGGGAAGGGGTAGAGACACTGCCTCCCTGTCTCATCCAGGCTGGAAGAACAGTGGCACAGGCCCGATCAATCTCAGTGCTCATCAGCCCTGAAGATTTAGCCTGCTCCACTTGTTAATCCGCTGCTCACCACAAAGGTTCTGGATTCTGCGTGCATACACAAAAGGCTTAACCTCGACTGACGCTGGACGCTGGGAACTCCCGGGCACAAGTGATTCACCGGCCTCAGGCTCAACAATAGCTGGGGTAACAGGAATGTGTCACCACGCCTGGCCCACCCAGTACCTTTCCATAACCCTTTGGATCACTTTCCAAGTGTAAATAGTATTATCTCCATTTTATATTTAAGGTAACAAGCTAATAAAGTTTAAGGGACGTGCCTATGGTCATACAGCTACGTGTCGGAGCTGGGCCTGGAAACCAGGCCTTCTGACTTGCAGGCTCTTTCCTCCAAATCACAGTCTCCTCCAGAATTCTGTAGAGCACTTGGTATATAGGCCTCATTTAACAAACAATAACTCTTCCACAAGGAACCTAAATCTACCTGGTGATCTAAAAACACAGCATTCTGCCAAAGCAATCAACTGTGCTTATTTTTCCATAACCATGTTAAATTGAACAGAACAATTCCTTCTCAACGAAATTAAGCCTAATACTAAAAGGACTTGTGTACCTGTTTGTTTTTTTTTTAATATAATGAAGGCTAAATGAACAAATGACTCAACTGGATTAATTCCAATAAATATTAAATAGAAAGTAAATGAAATCTTCAAGTATTGAAAAAATCCCCAAAATTCCTTACAGTGAGATAATGCTAAATGGCAAATAGATTATTAATATTATCAGTCAACATGTCTTCTCTAAACTTTGTATGTCCCACAGCAGAAAGTTACCAAGTTTTTTGTTGAATTCAATTGAACTGATATGGAGAAAAAACTTGAGAACAAAAAAAAGCAGAGTAGCAATTGAATTTTAACATAAAGGTACATTTGCTTCTCCTTAATTATGGAGAATTCCCATGGACAGTAAAGGACCTTATGTTCATGCTCAAGAGAGTATTCATCACTTGACTTAGTGAATGAGTATGTTCAGAGGTGAATATGTGGCTATTTAAAAAAAAACCCATGCAAACACACCTTTCAAAGTATTTATACAAAGAAAAATTCTTTAATGTCTGATAAACAAATCTGTTTTGTGGCATAACTTCAGTAAGAGGGTAAGTATTTGCCCCATACAAGGGGTACGGGGTTGTACTGGACAGAGTAGTCATGGCCTTGTCCCTTGGGTACCCAGCATGGGGTGAGGCATGCTTCCTTCTGCTGACCCCATGAAGCTCCCTTGCTGAGCTCTTAGCCACCAGTGACCTACCAAACTGTGGGTGGTTTCTTGTCTGCTTCCAGAACCAAGGGAAGTGACTCCTGCTAACCTTCCCCTGTTAGCATCTTCCCTCTGCCTCCTTCCCCTTCCTTCATTCTACCAGGGATTGGGGAAGAGACGGTTGTCCAAAAGATTGTCTGCCATAACACAGCGGCATAAGGTGAACTCTCTGAGGATGGGTTAGTGCTTTCCCAGTTTGAGAAATTCACCTGAGGAGCAATGAAAGCAAAAGCCAGTATATGCTGTCTACCTGAGATCCTGAGCTTTCCTGTACCCCCAGAGTGAGTTCCTACTGGGCCCTGCTGCTTTCTCCCCCTCTTCCCGCAGGTCTCCCTTTCCCTTTTCAGGCACCAAAATACTTCTGGTTCTGGCATAATGTTATATGATCATCTGAGTTTTGCTATATGAAGAATTTAAAAATGGAAGAAATATTCAAATCGAAAATAGTGGTGAAATCAAAGAACTTAGGAGGTTTCATTTCTCTTCCAGGGGTAGGGAACCTGCAGTCTTGAGGCTGTACCCATTTGCCTTCCCGAGATCACAAGACTGATAAGAGAGATAGTGTTCTCATTTTATTACTTAAACATATATCTAAAATGATGAGAACTGAGAAATGTATGTTTTAAACATTTCAGGAACCTTAAAATACTTTCCACAGTTTGGAGGAGTGACCACGTATTGGAGCCAAAGAATCAAATGATGACTCAGCATATTGCCATCACAACTATGATTAGATTGCTTCAGCTCAGATATTTTCAGTGCTGTTCTATGATTTTCATCAGTGTCTTCCTAGAAAGGACCCCTGTGGGCTTTCACTCAGGCTGATATCAGGCAATGTGCTGCTGTCCAGACCCATCTCTCTGGCTCCCCTCCAAAAAAAACTTGAAAGTGATCGTACGTATTTTTGGTAGCAAAAATTCCCAGCAGCCATATCAGTATCAGTTGCATTCCTGGCTGAAAAAATAGAAACAAACAACTCAAGACATCTGGGTTGCCTGGCCAAAGTGAATTCCACCCCCAGAGCATTCATGTCACTTAGTATGTGGTTAACATAACTATTTCAAAAACTCCATCCCTGGAATGTGTAGGAGGATTCCATACCAGGGGAACAATGTTCTTTCTAAGTGGTCATGGCAGAATGTCTCCTACATCTATAGAGGAGGAAAAGAGGTTGAAGGGTGAGGTAGGAAATAAAATGATCTTTGTAATGTGCAAGTACCCATTGTATACAGTGGACTTTAGAGTATGCTGTCATGTCTGTGGCAGGAAAATAGCACAAGGCAGCCCAGAGGCTCCAATCTGATTACTGATTCCAGGAATTGAACGTTTCCATGTTGTGGTAACATTTAACTGGTGCGTAAGGAGAGATGTTGCGGCTTGAGGAAATAAAAAAGGACAGAGCAATGGAGGAATTGTTTACTTCAGTGTTACTTAGTGGGGATTCCCCCACAAGAAGTAGTGAGGATCTAGTGTGATACAACTGAGGAAACCAGCATTCCATTCTCATTGGCCTCACTCAATGAGATATAGCATAGTGGATAGACCACTTACCTTGGATTCAGAAAGACTAGAATTCAAATATCACTTTTGATGCTTGTTAGCTATATGATTAGCTGTGCGTTAAGTGCAAATTACTTAACCTCTCTGAGATTGTTTAATTAATGGGGATTATAATATTTATATTTGCCCCACAGTTTGAGTTAAATACTTTTTTTTGGCTAGGCAAGGGGGTTAAGTGACTTGTCAGGGTCACACAGTTAGTAAGTGTTATGTGTCTGAGGACGAATTTGAACTCAGGTCCTCCTGAGTGCTCTATCCACTGTGCCACCTAGCTGCCCCTGAGTTAAATACTATGAAGGCTTTAAAGTAGTATATAAACACCAACTACTATTACTATTATTGGAAAAATTGGAAAAAAAAATGTTGAGAGAGAGAGAAAGAGAAAGAAGATTTCAGAACTGCCTCTATTAAATTTAAAGATGGAAGTAATGTATACAGTAGTAAGCTGTACATAAGCAGAACAGCTTGGAAGCTGAGAAATTGAGAAGTCACCTATTGGATCAATTAGTTTGGCTGAGACAACTTGCTCTGAGGTATAAGTCTAAGGTGTAAGCTCGGATACACTTAGCTTCTTAGCAGTGGAAGCATCGGCTCCTCATAGAAGCTACATTCATCAAGGAACTTTTATGAATAGTTCCTGAGACAGAAAGAAGTGATGAAGTTTCCAATTCAAGTTGTGGGTCACCATGAGCGCCATGAGCATGAGCTTTTCTTGTTTAGATTCCTCCTTGACAGGCTTCTCTAAATGAGTGAATTGGTGACCCGGGTCACGCGTAGATGTAATGTGTTTGATCGTGCATTTACTTGTTTTGATATAGGAGATACTATGATATCATTCTTCCTTTTTGCTTTATTACGGGATGGTTATTAAATGTTATTATATTTAAATATTATTAAAATTAAATATTGTTATTTATTACTAAAATAATTATTTTAAAGAACTAAAAGTGTCATTATGAATGGCTGATTTCCATAAATAGAAATGCATCAGCAAGAGTTCAAAAGCTATAGTGGTGACTAAGGGGAGTATATTCCCCTATAACAACATCACTTCCAGTATTCTGAGACAATCTGAATGTGGTGGTAGTCCTCCGGGGACCTAGACGGTAGGCTGATCAAGTCCTCCCAGCA